ACCATGATTTTGCCAGCCTGAGAAGGCAGTACTTAATGGTAAGAAATGGTTCATTAATGATGGCACCTTGAGCATCTTTAGAAACTTTCCTGGTGAGAAATTGCAATAAATGTGAGGCTTCCTTACACCCACTACCAAGGATGGTAACCAAGGGCACCTTCCCCTGAGATGGAGCAAATGTCCTGTACTTATAATGTGTGTCCAGAGACTCTGGTAACGAGAGAATCATGAAAGTAGAGACAAAACAGTTAGGATAAATACCCACTGCCCTCATCCTCAGGGATGCTCATTCTAAAAAAGGAATTATTAAGTCGCAAGGAAAAGCAAGAATCTAATCAAATAATTTTGCAGACCAGTTATTGGTGCCAGGCAGACAAAGCAAAAAAAAGAAGTGATGCTTCTGACACAATTAAGTATTTGGCTGAGAAAAGTGATAGAAACTGGCTTGAGCCCTTATTTTTCCTATTGTTGCCTCCAGAGTGGACTCTGACTCCAAGGCCACACACTCACCCATCCAGACTTCTCCAAACTGTCCAGCACCGAGCTTCTTCACCAGCTTAATGGACTCCCGTGGGATCTCCCAGGCATCTTTATCCCATGGCTTTTGTGGTTTGGGACTAACACATGCCTTCTCCAATCTTCTGCACAAGCCATCTGACTGCTCTAATTTGGAAGAGCAAATAAAGGTTAAAAACATCATGCTTTGTATTTTACCAGTATTTATAGAGAAGTTTCGACTATTAGTCTAATTTCCAACTTGCCATAGTCACGAACCTAAAATGCTTATTGGGGGTACCTTTTTTATAATCATGACTTTTGAAACTCTTGAATGGAAGACAATTTAAAACATACTTGATTTTATCATTAGTACTGCTAATCTATTAAAACAAAACAAAACAAAAAACATAACGAGCAGATGAACCAAGGCTGACAGGCTGTCACACTTGAAATGTAATTTCAGATTGCTGAACCCACATAAGCTCGTTAGGGCACAACGTCGGAGGTTTGGTGATGCCACTAGGGGACCAGAACAGGGCCAGGGCACGGAAAGCACTCAATATATACACTAAACAAATAAGTGAATGGAGATGGCAGAGAGGGAGGATTCCACAAAATCTGGGGGGCAGAGGTGCTGTGCTCTCTCCAATTTTTGGGACCTAAGCAAAACTATGATGTGTGTTCCCCTCAAGCAGGCTGTAGAAATAAGCAGTAATAACAACCGCCCACTACAGTGGACTTCAATCACACTGAGAATGAACGTAAAGGTTGGTCTCGGATTCAGCTTAACGGGGCAGGAAGAGTGGCACTGGTGACAGAGGACCAATGACTTGCCACTTCTAAATATTTTGGTGGTGAAAAAATATGCACTATGTGAAAATAATATTCATTTTTCTCTTCATAATTTTGAAACACCGACTAGGGACTAGGTGCGAAGGACTGGAATAATCATTCACAAAGATCAAATCTGACTTTGAATGTATTATTTAATTATAGCTGCATTTAGAATCAATCGGTTACAAAATATGACCCTCCAGCTTTATCCCAAAGAAATATGAATAAAAAATTTTAATATAAAAGAGTGTTTGACACCATATATTTATCATCATAAACATATTTTGTCTGGTCCGACCTTTAGTTTTTACTTACTTTGGTAATGCTTAATCATGTCGCTGATACAAGGAAAAGTGATTCTTGGGGAGATGTAATAACCCCCATTGTCCAGACTTCTAATTTTGTAGTGCTTAATAACATCACCATGCACTGGGTCATAATCTCTGACAGACAGAGAATAGCTTCCTGTGGGGGAAAAAGTACAAGGAACAGTTACACCTGTACAAGTAAGATCTGCATTATACAATACCATAGTACACATTTTGCCATGAAATATGCAAAATATAAATTGAGTATGTATATAGTCTATAATTTTCAAAGTCCTAAAGAAAATCTACTTGGTAACAGAGGCGAGCATTTGTGTTTGCTAGGAAGTTTACCAATATGCCATTTTCCTTCTTTATGATAGTTTTTAAAATCTCACTGAACTGAAAAGTTATTTTGATTTCCTTTCCTTTAAAATTTCAATATTTACTCTAAATAATAACGTAAGAGACTCAGCAAACATGAAGCATGGTGAGAAATGGCCATACTTATGTCTGTTTTCTATGTTACTTTTAGTAGCAAAACTAATAATTGAGTTTATTTGTTATCAAACTATAAAACTTTCACCACCGGAACATAGCATATCTTTTCCAAAAGAATTCTAGAACAGTTTCTAGGAATGATTTCCTAAATCGTATTTTATAAGAAGCCTTAAGCCACTTCTCACCTTTCAATGTTTCGCTTTCTCTGATGAGAAAAGCTCCAGCGCTGTTCCCCGGGGCCAGAAGCTGCCTTTCTGCATCTTTCCTGGTTATATCCTTGAAAAACCACCTGAGAAGACATTTTAACAGTTCGTGGGTGTTAGGCTCCAGGGAAGGAAAAAGATAACGAATAAACAA